AGGCGTTTGTTCCTCGGTGGAAGGGTCGCTTTGCGGCTCTGGTCCATCAGATGAACGCTGACCACATCCAGCGCCACTTTGGCGGTGTCTGCCTGCGCTCGTCGTAGGTAGGCACCGTCTCGGGGGTCCCTCTGCGGGGATCCCTGTGTGCACCTGTCGCTCCCTAGGTGGTTTTCGTTGTGGTCTTTTGATGGCTTGACTTGTATTTTTTGTTTAATTTTGCTTCAATTTTTGCTGTATTTGTGTGGTATTTTTGCTGAATTTTTGTGTAAAGTCCTTTGTATGATGTCTTTTCCTTCTGTGGTCGGTTGCCTTTTCAACCCGACGCTGTCTCTTGTTGTATGTGAGCGTGCCGTGGTGTTCATTGTGTTTGTGCTGTGATGGCTTATACTTGTGATGTGTGACTGCCCTTTTGGGTGTCTTGTGTTTGAAATGGCCGTATCTCTGGTTATACTTGGTCGTTTTGTACGATTTTTGTTTCTATGTGCAGGATTCTTCGCGCTTGTACTTCTTGGCATGATAAAAGCCAGTGAATGTAACTTGTTCTCTTGTGTTGTTTTGCGTGACGTAGTGATTTTGATGTCGGGGTTGCACAGCTTTGCTTTCAGCTCTGAGGTTCAAACACCTAATTTAAATTCTCTCACGAATGCACGTGAAGGACGAGGACGTTACAACGTTTACTGCCGCCGAGCCAGTCCTAGGTGAGGACGAGGATGGCACGGCGATCCGTGATGGCGGCGTTGCCTTTGTGGCAGCGGCCGCGACCCAGGCCAACGAGACCACCTCAGCGCCAGGCAGCACAACCGTGCTCCAACTTTCCAGCGACCTCTACCCCCAGCTGGTGGAGGGTTACCGAACAGATCCTGACTGGCAGGCCGTGTACGCCGGCCATGCCGACCCCAGCAGCAAGCCACCTAGGCGTGGGCGCCTTGGTATTCGATTCCGGCGGACCGAGCTTGATGCTGCAACGGGTCTCCTCTACTACGCTCTCCAGCCTTCGAGCAAGGCTATCAACAATTCGGCAGATCGACGTCGGCTAGTGGTGCCCCAGGGCCCTGTTCGTGACCTGTTGCTCGCCGAACACCATTCGACGCCACTGGCAGGCCATCTGGGCTACGAGCGCCAGGTGGCGACCATGCGAGATAAGTACTGGTGGCGAGGCCTGAGCACAGACCTCAAGGACTTCTGCGCGCGCTGTCCCAAGTGCCAACTGCGGAAGGACCCCACCACGGCACGCAATGGTCCACTCCAGCCTCTCGACCCCCCGAGCACGCCCTTCACACACGTGACTATGGATTTTATCACGGGGCTGCCCAAGTGTGAGGGCTGCGACGCCATCTTGGTGGTTGGGGACCGCCTGACACGCATGGTTATGACCAGAGCCACGAAGAAAGCCATCAACGCTCTCGATACAGCTCGCCTGATTTTGGAGATGATGTTGCCGATGGGCGGCATGCCTTTGAGCATCGTCTCTGACCGTGATACCCGTTTTGTTGCCAACGTCTTTCAGAAGATGTGCAAAGCATTTGGAACCAACCTTGACTTCTCGACGGCTCACCATCCACAGACAGATGGACTGACTGAGCGGTACAACAGAGTGCTGATCGAGTGCCTCCGCACCGGCGCGGAGACCGACCGCGACAACTGGGTCCAGATGCTTCCCATGGCTACCTATGCCATCAACAGCACCACGCACAAGGTCACTCGCCTGACACCACTGTTTGCGGCGACTGGGCGACATCCAGTGACACCGTCATCCCTATTAGTTCAGCCTAAGGCGGCAGCCTTTGGCGACAACGATGCAGACTCAGAACTTCGGCGCCTCCAAAGCATTTGGCAGTACGTTGCAGATGTGACGGCCCTCGGCCAGGAAGAGGCGGCTGAACGTTATGACCGGAAGGTCAACATGGTGGAGTTCAAGCCCGGCGACTGGGTGGTGGTCTCCATCAAGGCGGTGCGGTCACCCACAGATCGTGCCACACACTCCTCGAAATTGGGCGCCCGTTGCCCTCTGCCATTCTGTCTTCCCCTTGCTCTCCTGTGTGCTCTGCTCTCTTGTGACTTTCCCTATCCTCGGGATTGAGCGACTCTACAGCTATTCTAATGGTGCACCTGGTCTGGTCACTGTGAATGCTTGCCGACCGCAGCTGGTTCAATTGACCTCAAGACACCACCAAAGCTTTCGCTCCGCTCCGACGGACGTCTCTCAAACCTCTCTCAAAACGCTTCCTCAAACCTACGCGCTTCCTCGCAACCCAAAGACGGCCTCCAGACGTGCTGGAGCCCGACAGCAAGCGTATTAGCAGTCGGCACTTGTACGATTCGGACGAATCAACCCCAAGCTCGTCTCGGCATGGTCGATGACAGCCGGTGGCTCAGTCATATTCCAGTTGGCCGGCACCCAGGCTGAGTCTCGCTGTACCAATAGAAACGTATGCGTCAGGATCAATGTGTCCTTGTCCGCAGTGTTGACCACGTGCACCATCTTGCGCGGGCGGGCGAATCGCCGCGTCTGCCCCTGCGTTGCGATTGGCACCAGCAAAGTGTACGTCGGGCCGCACAAGAACGCGCAGCTCAATCAGTATTCTGCTCGCCTCAAAAGCCCTCAGCAAGCCGTCTCTAAGTTGAGTCACCGGCCTTGGTGATGACACATTTGACAAAACAAATTTGACCTCGGCTGGACAAGACTGCTCTTGGTTGGCAAAGCTTTGAACCACCCGCTCCAAGACCGTGCTTGACATGTGCTTCTTGCAATCGAACCTTGATCAATGTGGGCTGGAATGACCACAGAAAACTGCTCGGCAATCTTCGTGCATCTTGCACGTTAAACCGGCGTGCGTCCCCCACGCTGGATATGGGATGAAACCCAAGAAACGCCAATTTCTCGAGCACATTCAGTCCCGACTATCTTCCAGAGCGAAGAGCCTGCTTGACAAACCCACATGACAGCAAAGAAAGAATGCAAGTGAGGCTCTGCTTCCACACACCCCAGCCAGCAAGTGGTGATGCGTGGGTCTCCCACAGTTGAGGAACAAACACAAGCAAAAACCTAAACATCACAGCACACGTCACAACACAACGACAAAACCGTCGCATTTTGCCGGGTGCTCGCCCCCTCCCCGCAAGAGAGTGCACCTGCGGGTGGTGTGGCTCAACCATCGACTCGCCTTCTCTGCCAATCAGCGTCCAAGTGAACCGGATAGCACACAAGAGCAGCGACATGAACTTGCTGACGCCTTGCTGAAGCGGCCTTCGCTCCATCTCTGCGGGCTGCGCGTTCGCTCGAGCATGAGGTGAGGGTGCATCCATCCGGTTGAGCCCTCACATGCAGAAAATGAAAATAAAACGTTTACATACATGCACGCATCCCAGACTGGCTGTCCAACTCGTATGGAGAGAATACCCTGTAATGCTGTCCAGTGTCAACGTGTCTGCTTGCACAGTGTCCAACTCCACCACCACATCGGCTCAGGCGGTGCTCATCGAGCATCTTGTTCGTGCGCGGCATTCCCAGATAGCTATTGACCGCATTTGTCGGTAATCCAATCATTTCGACAGTTTTCTGCCATTTTCCGGCTAGTTTTTGGAGATTTACAGTCGGATGTTAATTTGGTTTTTAATGTTGCCGATCAATACAGTTTCGGAACCTTTCCAGCGAGTTCAATGCAGTGCTATGCGCATGCAAAGGGAGCAATGAATTGGCTGCCGCGATGATGTGAATATCCAAATGATTGTGGACGTAGATGGAGTAACGATAAGTTTCTCAACGACATAGCATTGAATTCTCTTTTGAAACTGTGGACGGGCTTAAGGAATTTACTGAATAGGTGTGGAAAAGTTTCCAGTGCAGCGAGTGTTAAGTCTGTGAACTCTGGTATCTGCCCGGTATCTGCCCGGTATCTGCCCATGCCTATTCCGAGCCTATCTCGATGTAATAATAAATTAGGTGTTTGAACCTCAGAGCTGAAAGCAAAGCTGTGCAACCCCGACATCAAAATCACGACGGCACGCAAAACAACACAAGAGAACAAGACATTTTCATCGGCTTCTATCATGCCGAAAAGTACAAGCGCGAAGAATCACGCACAAGGAAACAAAAATCATGAAAAACGACTAAGTATAACCAGAGATACGGCCATTTGAACCACTAGACACATAAAAAGGCAGTCACACATCACAACTACAAGCCATCACAGCACAAACATAAAAAACACCACGGCACGCTCACATACAACAAGAGACAGCGTCGGGTTGAAAAGGCAACCGACCACAGAAAGAAAAGTCATCATACAAAGGACTTTACACAAAAATTCAGCAAAAATACCACACAAATACAGTCAAAATCAAAGTAAAATTAAAACAAAAATACAAGTCAAGCCATCAAAAGATCACAACGAGAACCACCTAGGGAGCAACAGGTGCACACAGGGATCCCCACAGAGGGACCCCCGAGACGGTGCCTACCTACGACGAGCGCAGGCAGACACCG